TCTTCTATTCCAAGATCTCATCCATGGTTCCACATTACATTTAGTTGTCATGTTTCCTTAGGCCCCTCTTGACTCTGACAGTTTCTCAGACTTTTTTTGTTTTTGATGACCTTGGCTGTTTTGAGGAATACTAGTCAAGTATTTTGTAGGATGCCTCTCTATTGAAATATGTCTGGCATTTTTCTCTTGATTAGACTAGGGTTACGAGATTTTGGGAGGAAGACCACAAGGGTAAAGTACTATTTTCTTTATACCATATCAAGGGTACATGCAATTAACATGATCTGTCCCGTTGATGTTGACCTTGATCACCTGGATAAGGTAGTTTGTCATGTTCTTCCACTGTAAAGTTACTCTCTTTTTTCTGCCTTTCCATATTGTCCTGTTTAGATGGAAGTCACAATGTGCCACCCTCACTTAGTGGGTGGGGATTTATGCTCCCCTTCCTTGAGGATGGAATATCTACATACATTATTTAGAATTATTCTGCAATGAAAATTTGTCTCTTCTCCCCCACAATTTACTTATTTATTCAATTATTTGTTTATATCAGTACATACTCATGGGTATTTATTTTATACCAATGTTACTTTATTTTCTTGCTCAAATGGTTCTAGATTTGGTCATTGGGAGCTCTTTCAGTTGGTTCCTGTGTCTCTTTGACGTAACCCCATCAATACAGGGTTTTTGTTGTTGTCTAACACTTCTGTATTTTCTGGCATTAAAAGATTTCCAAGCTCATCTTATATATTTCCTGCCCCAGGCCTAGAAATAGCCATTTCTCCAAGTCCTTGGTTCCTTTATTGGAGAATGATATTCAAAGCCAAGATTGGGGTGCTCCTAATTTGTGCTCGTTGCTATGGAGTGTCATTGCTTTTAGGCCCTTTCAGCTGACAGAGCAAGGAAATGTGTATGTTTACTAACCTGGGAATATACACATATCTAAATATTTCTGTATGTATGCATCAATATCTATATTAAGCTAAACATGAGTTCATACTGATGTTCCCAATTCTAATCCATTACCACATGGATCATTCTAGCGTCTTTTACTTGCTTATCTGTAAATTCCCTCTCCAATAATGAGAAACCTGGCTCCTACCATCTGCCATCTGTTTATTTAATAGTTCAATTCCAGTATACATGTATAGCAGTATCAGGATTACTAACCCACATCCTCATGAGCTTATCAACTCTATCAGCTAGAGTACAGTGCTTATGTACAGTTCTTTTTTGCATTTAGGCTTACAGACTCCACTCATTTCCAGAGGCATTTAGGTCAGCACTGTTCCTCCCACCCCCTTCAGTGAGATTGTTTCACACACTTGTAATACAATTAGATTCTGTTGTTAAGGTCTGCATTCCTTCCTGGGATCCCCTGACCTCTTAAATGATTTTTTTTTTTTTTAATTTGCCTACATTCAGGTTCACCCTTTGTGCTGTAAATATCTATGGGTTTTGATGACTGCACAATGTCATGCGTCCACCATTACAGTATCACACAGAATAGTTCACCATCCTAAAAATGTCTTGTGCTTCAAGTATTCTACCCTCCCCCCAACTCCTGGCAACCACTGATCTTTTTATTTTCTCTGTAGTTTGCCTTTTCTGGGTGTCATATATCGGACTGAAAGTATATTGCCTTTTTAGACTGGCTTCTTTCATTTTACAATATGCATTCAAGGTTCATCCATGTCTTTTCATGGCTTGATAAATAATTTCATTATATCACTGAATATTATTCCATTGTATGGATGTACCACAGTTTATCCACTCTCCTTTTGAAGAACATCTTGGTTGTCTCCAGTTATGGGCGATTATGAATAAAGTGACAGTAAACAGTCATGTGCAGGCTTTTGTGTAGACATAAGTTTTCAATTTCTTTGGGTAAATACCTAGGAGCATGATTACTAGGTCATATGGTGAGACTATGTTTATCTTTGTAAGAAATTGCCAATCTGTCTTCCAAAGTGGCATTTTGCATTTTGCAGCAATGAACTAGAATTCCTGGTGCTTCACATCTATCATGGATTGAATTGTGTCCCCTCAAAATATGTGTCAACTTGGTTAGGCCATGAGTCCCAGTATTGTGTGGTAGTCCTCCATTTTGTGATCTGATATAATTGTCCTATGTGTTGTAAATCGTAATCTCTGCCTGTGGTTAATGAGGCAAGATTAGGTTATGTTAAAGATGATTAAGGTGGGATGCAACACCCTTACTCAGGTTACAGCCCTGAGCTGAAGTAAGAAGAGTTTCCCTGGGGTGTGGACTACATCACCTTTTATCTTACAAATGATAGAAGGAGAGAGAAGGGAGCAGAGAGGGACCTCCTACCACCAAGAAAGAAGAACCAGGAGCAGAGTGTGTCCTTTGGACCTGGGGTCCCTGTGCTGAGAAACTCCTAGACCCAGGGGAAGATTGATGACAAGGACCTTTCCCCAGAGCTGACAGAGAGAGAAAGACTTCCCCTGGAGGTGGCACCCTGAATTTGGACTTCTAGTGTCCTAAACTGAGAGAATAAATTTCTGTTTGTTAAAGCCATCCACTTGTGGTATTTCTGTTATAGCAGCACTGGATAACTAAGACAACATCCTCATTTGGCATTATCAGTTTTTGGATTTTAGCCATTCTAATAGATGTGTTACCGTGTTATCTTGTTGTTTTAACTTGCAATTCCGTAATAACAAATAGTGTTGAGCATCTGTTCATATGCTTATTTGCCACTGGTAATCTTTGGTTAATATTTACTTTTTATTTATTTGTTTTTTTAACTTTCCTAAATTGATTTTTTTCAATTTGCATGTGTCATTTATTTGATTTCCGCTACACTCCCTTCCCTCCCCCCGTCCCCCATGGATCTGTGACCTTTGGAAGCATTTTCCCATCATTTTTCCATATGGTAATCAAACTCCTCATTGGCTTTCACGGGTACAGTAGTTGAATTTTCCCTCTTTGAACCATGGAATACACACTTTATTCTTGGGATAGCATTCCCTTCATTAACTAGATTTTTATCGAGCCCCTACCATGTAAGAGGCACTGTAGGTATTGGCCTTCATGGAGTTTACATTCCTGTGACTAGAACGCTGAACATCTTCCCATTTAAATACAAAATCAAAATAATCAAGTTAAGAAATTGTAGGTAGCATTTATAGACTGATGATTCTGAACGAGTTTTTTTCCTTAGCCTTGTTTTCTTGGAGCTTAAGCCTTCTGGATTCCTCATTTATGAAGGTTAGTCTTTATCCAGGCTCCCTGCCCTGCTTGAGCCCAAAGCTTGGCCCACATTCCTACCTGGGCCTCTCCTTCAGCTCTGAACTTGGAAGCCCTGACTATTGGTTTCTGAAGAGTCTCATGGTTTGTGGTGGCAACAGGGCCTGAATAAAATTCTCACCTCATAGAGCTCTACCCACTCCTTTTTTTGAGGTCTAGATTTTTAATTTTTAAAATAAATTGCCAAAGCATCACTCTTTATGCTACATGCCATCAAAATAGTAAATCAATAATATTGTCTTTGCATTAATATAGTTATTTTCCTGTGATCTCTAGTGAACTATAATTTCAAAATCACTTGTTAGACACTTGCCTGGTTCCTACTAATCTCCAGAAGGAGACTAGGATGAAGAATTTTTAGGTGGAAAATCAGGGTGATAAAGATGAATTGCTTTTGGAGCTGACCTCCAATTAGCTTCTAGTTTAGATGATAATTAAACCTGTTATCAGGGAATTGATTCCAACTCATGGAGACCCCATGAGTTTCAGAGTAGAAATGAGCTCCGTAGGATATTCTTGGTTGTGATCTTTATGGAAGCAGATGGCCAGGTCTTTCTTCTGCAGCACCACTGGGTAGGTTCAAACTGCCAACTTTTCAGGTAGTAGTTGAACACAAACTGTTTGCACCACCGAGGAACCTCAGACAATAACTAAGCAACAAAAAACCACAAGGCCAGGATTAGGGTGAGGGAAGTGCAGTACTTGCCTCAGGAGCAAAACGTAAGAGGGTGCAAAAAAATTCAAAGTGCCCAAACCAAAAACCAAACCCATTGCTGTTGAGTCGATTCTGACTCATAGCAACACTATATGACAAAGTAGAACTGCCCCCTAGGGTGTCCAAGGAGCAGCTGGTGGATTCGAACTGCCGACATTTTTGGTTAGCAATGGAGCTCTTCACCACTGTGCCACCAGGGCCCCCAAAATGACAAAAACTAAAAGAATAAATATCTTACTGCAACATTTAAAAAAAATCAAAATTAATGCAAAAAATCCAAGATAATATCAAAATTTTAAATAAACAGAGGACTAAACATTGCCATGCTGAGCCACCTAACCTGAGGCAAAGGGGAAAATGTGTATCCTTATATACATGTTTTTATACATTTTTTAACAGTTTATTTTTTCCAGAATATTACAGTACTTGGCAAAATAATCAAAAATTGAAAAACAGGTATATTAAAACTCATATTACTTTAATTTAAATGTTTATTTGTACCTAAAAGACAATTTCTTATCATTTTATGTCCCTGGCTTAATGGAACAAAACTTATCAATAATATTTTTAAAAGCTTACTTTTTAAATGAGCCATTTAATGAAGTACATAAAAACAGGTGCCCAGTTTTCCTTTTGCCTCAGACTTTGCACAGAACTGGAAAACAAACCAGTGTATTTAGATGTAGTTAGTCCTACCAGCTTTACGCAGCGCATGGAACAGCTTGGACTCTAACACAGAACTTTTGCTGAGTAATTCATTCAACCTGGTAAAACAAAATGTTTAGAGAAGTTTTTCTTTTACATTTTAGGCTAATTACTCCAGGAATTGCCCAGTGCTACTCAGCTGTTAATCAAAAGGTCTGTGGTTTGAACCCCCCAGCTGCTCCGTGGGAGAAAGATGTGACAGTCTGCTTCCGTAAAGATTACAGCCTTGGAAACCATATTGGGCAGTTCTACTCTGCCCTATAGGGTCACTGTGAGTCAGAATCGACTCGGTGGCAATGGGTTTGGTCTTTTGGATTTGGTACTTTGGCTTCGTGTCAGATTTATGTACTTATAAGAACAAAGCTAAAACAATAAATCATGAGGCTTAGAATGCATTCCTTCTTATTGAATACTTTTTAATTATGTTTTGGAAATATTTCAAGTCTACTGTGAACCGAATTACCAGGGATTTGGGACAGACATGATAGTGAGATCTCCTTTGAGGAAATGGATCATACTCAACTACAGATTCATACCTTTATCTGTTTAAAATTGAAAATAGCTTCTCTGTTATTCTCTAGCCTGGTATTTGCTTTTTTTAAAAATTATTTTTATCCCCTGTTTAAAAAATTTGCAGCACTTCTAAAAATGAAAGTGAAAACGCCACAAACGTGCTTGGGCTCCAAATCAACGTTAACATACAAAGAGAATTCCGGCCACTTTTGGTTTGGAATCGAGTGCAAAATTAAACAACCTACACCTTGATTTCATATCATGAATGTGTGATAAAAAAATTTTTTTTGAAACTTCTGTTGGCAAAATTTACATTCCATTATGATTCAGAATTGCATTGTAGAGATAGTGTGCTTAGAAATGGGGATTTGAGAAGCATCACATCTGTAGTTTCCTTGAAAAACTATAAAATAATCACAATTTGCTGCTGGAGCATTTGTCAATTATTAAAACTGAGTACAGTGGGAGAGAGAGGCAGATAGTTTCTGAAGATAAACTATGTGAAAGGTGGTTGGCTAAGTCGTGGAGATAGAAAACTGGAGAAGACATAGAGTGCTTTAAAAAGAGCCACCTATAAGTAAACAGGGCAGTGTGCCAAGCACACTGTGTTACAGTCTTCTATAAGTCGTGATGCACACTGAGTAGTGATAGGCTTCACCTGAGGGGACCTAGAAGGTGCAACCCAGGAGGCAATAATTGATTTATATTTTGAACCTCAAGGGTGACAGTGACATGTAAAAGGAGAAGGAACTGCTTCTCAGACAGAAGGGAATCCAGGTGCAAAGGTATGGAAGTGGAGGGAAAGCCTAGTGGGTTCTCAGAACTGAATGTTATGTTGGGCTTCTAAAAGAGGTGTAGTAGAAGGAGGAAGCAACATCAGCGGAAATGGTAAGTGAACACATCCTCTCGCCTTGTGGGAGCACATTAGCAACAGAAGCTGAAAGAGCAGTTGTCGTCCTTTGGAAATACCCAGGAAGAGAAGCCGACAGACTATGGGCAGGCAAGTGAGGGGGCATTAGTTTTACAGGAAATTGAAGAGGGACATTCAACAAGTAGGATCTACATTTAAATGAGGGGAAAAAGTGCACCATCAGGTAGCCAGCAAGCCTGGTACTTGGAGGAAAACCAAAACAAAACCTGTTGCCATCAAGTCAATTCCGACTCATGGCTATCCCATGTGTTACAGAGTAGAACTGCTCTACAGGTTTTCTTGGCTGTAATCTTTATGGAAGCAGATGGCCAGGCCTTTCTTCCATGTCACTGTTGGGTGGGGTTGAACCACCAACCTTTAAGTTAGTAGTTGAGCGCAAATTGTTTGCACCATCCTTGGTACTTGGAGGGAAGCTACTTAAATATTTCAATGAAAAATATTTGAGCTGTCAGTTTCAAATGATTATCTCTTGATACCTAGTGTTACTAATGTTTCCCCACAAAATGTTTGCGTTTCAATAGCACGGAACAAACAACTGAGATCCTGTTGTGCCTATCACCTGCTGAAGCTGACAATCTCAAGGAAGGAATTAATTTTTTGCAAAATAAGTGCACTGGCAAAAGCTACATCTTATACAAGAATAAAAGCCGCCTGAAGGCATGCAAGAATCTGTGCAAGCATCAAGGAGGCCTGTTCATAAAAGACATGGAAGACTTAGATGGAAGGTACCAAAAGTCCTTTGCTTTCTCACTGGTGATCTTTTGTAATTAGACTTGGCAGGAAATGTGCTTATTTAGAAAATTTAAATGAAGCCGATCAATGAATGTTCTTCCCCTACTAAATTTCATAACTTTTTCTCTTGCTTGTTTAGGGCATCTCCATGCTCTCAAAATTTCATAACCTTTACTTAATTTTCCTCTCTCATAAGAATTCTCATTTAGAATTTATTCTTAGCTTGCTAAATAGTAAAGCTTCTAGGGTACATGTGTGAGAGTGTATGTGCATGTGTGTGGAGAGAGCAGGCATTTACCTGGTTTTGTATTCAGACTCAAGGCTGCTAGGTTTTCTTTCTCTCTTACCCAGAAGTGTGTGTGTGGAGGAGTAATGTGGTGGGGAGCACTTTACCAAACCCTCCTAGCAGATGATATTTTCCTGGCTGGCTAGTTGTAATTGGAAAAAAAAAAAAAAAACAGAAATGGCCCAGCCCCAACAGTCCCTGCCCTGAACAGTAACTCTTCCTATCGTTGTGTCTCTCCCACTTGTCAGGAGGTAACACTTGCATATAGATCAGCTCCACCAGGGCTGTTAAGTGCAGGAGCAATACCAGAACAGGATTTTATCATTTTGTTTTTAACGACTGCCCAGGAGATAACAACACTGCCTGTCAGAGCCAGGGAGAGTTCTTGAGAGAATGCTTTGTTGGTCTCATTCTCAACACCAGCAGCGTGTGAGTGGTTGGCTGAACATTTCAAACTCACTTCAGCCTATCTTGACCTATGTGGTTTTAGTCACTTGGGTGTTGTGTTTTCTTCTTCTGCTGTGGTGTCAATCTTATTCCTCAGGTCATTTGTAGGCAGTTTAGTGCTACTGCACTCAGAAGAAGCTGGGTAGTCGTCCAAGAATTTCCTGTTATAATTGTACAGCATTCAATAACCCAAGTCTAGAATGTTTTCACACCTGCACCCAGATTTGCTTAATTGCATGCTTAGTTTCAGGGCCCAGTCCCACATATTATTAGATTTTTAAATGTTGGCCACTGTTGCACCTGCGGCTTCCTTGGCTCTTCAAATAGGGTTGCTAGATTTAGCAAATAAAAATACAGGGTGCCCAGTGAAATTTGAATTTCAGATAAACAATGAACATATATATATATATATATTTTTTTTTTATATAAATATGTCCCAAGTGGGACATACTTTAGCTAGCAACTCTAAGAGACTAGGTAATTTGCTGACAGCCCTATTTTGATGTTGTTCCATCTTCTCAGTGGGAACAGTCACGGAAGCTACAGACATAGTTCCATCACTGGTCAACTTCTGCCACCACTAGAGGACATTGAGGTTTTCTAAGTATTGCAGTTTGAAACTCTGGCTTTCTTCTCTTCTTTGATCTCCGGTCTACTTCTCCTTGGTGGGCTGTTTCACACAGTGCCCACGTAGCCAGCCGTTTAAGGGAGGTGTATAGCTTTGATCGCTTGTCCTAGACTGCCTGGTTTAGAAGCCTGGCTCTTCCACTTTCCAGCTCAGTAAACTTGGGCAAGTTTCTTAACCTTTCTGTGTCTCAGTCTTCTCATCTATGAAACAAAGATGATAATATTACCTACTTAGTAGGGTTGCTGAGAGGACAAAATAGTTTCAAACACATAAAGCACTTAAGAAAATGCCTGTCATGTGTTAATTACTTTTACTACTATTATTATGCCAGGAGCTTCTTGTGCCGCTTAGGTACAGGTAGCTTATTTAAAGGAACTCAGATTTTTTTTTTTTTTAATATCTAATTTGTTCATCTTAATATGGTGATTGTTTTACCACACACTGGCCTTTCTCTCCTTAATCTAAAACTTTGGTGGTGATTGATCCCAATTTCACCCTATTCTGATGCCAGTCTACCCTGGAGATAATACTCTCTTAGCTCTCCTGGACATGAGGAAACAGGTTCTCCCAGCTTTAGTCCCAGATGCAACTCACCAAAAATTTATACGCTGAAACTGCATGAGCTTTACACACTACCGCTCCCCCTGCCTCTTCAAATTTGGTTGCTTCTGCTTGGGTTCTCTGTGCAGCAATTTATCTGAACAATCTCTCTTTTCCAGGATACCATCAAGAACGAAGACCCACCTGTTATACACTACCTGCCTCAGTCGCTTTGCTTTTTGGCAAATAACTAAGATCAGCAAATCTCATAGGCTGTGGTTCTCAATTTTTAAGTTTTAATGATTTTTTATTAACTCAACTGCTTGTGAAACTCTTGCCTCTCTCTAGTTTACCTGCCACCCGTGAGCATAGGATCCTGCCACAATTTCCCCTTCCATGGCCCAGCATGCTGAAAGCCTGCTGTTGGCAATCCATCAATCAGAAGGGAGGTGTCATAAAATAATCGTCCATAAATTGAAGTATGGAATATGCATTTTGCCTTATAACTAGAAAAGACATTTTAAAAAAGTTATGTCTATAATGAAGCTCGGGAAAATTACCATGATTCACTTACACGTTAAAGTAGACGTTTTAGTTAAAAAAAAAATCTAATGTTTCTGATTTGAGACATATTTCTCCATATATCTTTACAAATACTTATTTTTAACACTTAAAAAAAAACTTACCGGAAACTGTACCAAAACAAAGAGAAGAAACTGAAACTTCTATACTCCACTTCCCACTCTCACATACCTCACACCTCTCAAAGCCCTGCTAAGAAATGGAAAAATACTAAGCACCCTGTTTTGTTAAAATCTGATTCTTACTCTGAAATAGAGTTGCCCGGTTTAGCATATAAAAATACAGGGCACTCAGTTAAATTTGAATTATAGATAAACAACAAATACTTTTTCAGTATAAGTATGCCACAAATATTGTATGGGACACATTTATATTGAAAATTATTCATTGTTTACCTGAAATTCAAATTTAACTGGGCATCCTGTATCTTGTCTGGCAACCCTGCTACGAAACCTTAAACTGTAAGAGAATTTTTTCTCTTTAGAAAATGAAAACTTTAGTCTAACAGTGTTCTTTATTAGGGAGGGGTCAAGGGTTAAAGTAGAGGGTCAGCAAAAAAGAGGAAGACCCTCAACGAGATGTATTGACACAGTGGTTGCAACAGTGGGCTCAAGCATAACAGCGATTGTGAGAATGGCGCAGGACTGGGCAGTGTTTCGTTCTGTTGTACATGGGGTCACTGAGTCGGAACCCACTCGAAGGCACCTGGCAACAACAGCAAGGGTTGTAGAGTGATTGTAAATCATAGACACGTATTCTGTATTACATTCCTTCCTTGTATTGGCCCCAAATGGATTTCAGCTAGCTTAGCTTTTATAAGAGAACTATTCCCGAAGACTACTTTATTCTGTTGATCTCTGACGTGTCATTTTGTGACACAGAGTTTACTGTCATTTTTTAAATCACTTCCTATTAATGATTAGTCTATATTTTCTGGGATGTTTGGGCACTAGTGCTCTTAGTAGTTTTCCTTTCATGCACTTCTTGTTCATCCAGCTAATTTAATTTCATCACACAAATAATACATGTAAGCCTAATCAAGATGAATTTTTATAATTTTAATAATCTGAAGTACAATTTTTCCTCCAGGTCTGTTAGATGCACAAAGCACAATTGGAAGTTAGATGTGAGCACCATGAAATACATCAATCCTCCAGGAAGCTTCTGCCAAGATGAGCTGGGTAAATACCATTAATATTGATACACACATTCTGTTCTGATTGTCATCAGGGTCCTTCTTGTCAACTTGTTTCCAATCGCACTTGAAGCTTTGGGTACATTCTGATTTTAAAATGTGGGTATAAGATTTTATTTTATTTTTCCATAACTAACATTAAACATTTAAACAGAAGTTTTCTGCAAAAGATCATTCATTCATTTGTTCGGCAATTATTTGTTGAGACCTTACCATGTGAAAACATAAACCAAAAACCAAACTTGTTGCCATTGAGTCAATTCTGACTCAAAGCAACCCTATAGGACAGAGTAGAACTGCCCCATAGGGTTTCCAAGGAGCAGCTGGTGGATTCGAACTGCCCACCTTTTGATTAGCAGCCGAGCTCTTAACCACTGTACCACCAGGGCTCCATGTAAATGTAGTGCTGGCTATTAATAGATATAAAGATGGATAAGATAGTCCTTAGTATAAATGAGATTGTATTTACATGAAGCAGTGGCTAAGACAAATCTGTAAACAACTAAGATCAGGAATGCTATGACAGGTTTTTAAAGAGAGATACAGTGCACCACAAAATAACGGGTTTGAATATTTTATCTGTGAAGACACACAAGATACACAATGTTCATGTACATGAGGCTCTTAATAATTATGATGAAACTTTACATTTTGGTTGGGAAGTAAAGTACTGGGTCATTCAAATCATATAGCTCTTTCTGGCATAGATAAGAGATTAAAGTTCTTTAGTATGCTGCCTCCACTTCTGCTTTTCTCCTTGCTCCCTCCTACTGAGCAAAGTCTGTAGAAGTACAAGAGGAACTTGGTCATCTGGATAACCTTGTCTCTGTTTCAATTTATTAAAACCATATTTTATCAGCAGAAAGTGTTGGTTGTAACCGTCCTTAAAACTGACTGCCATTTACAAGTGTGTTAGACACATTATGTTTCAGATGACAGCTATAGGAAACAAACAAAAATAGATTTGATCTGATTGACAGAATCACAGAAAGCTTTGTGTCAGAGACGGCTGTGTGCTGAGTCTTGAGAGATGAGCAGAATTTCAACAGGCAGAAGGGAATTCAACAGAAAGAAAGGCATTCCTGGTAGAGGGAACAACTTGGCAATTTTAGCATGTTTGGGACCCCATGTGTAGTTTAGTTGGCTGGAGTATACCAAACCCATTGCTGCTGAGTCGATTCTGACTCATGGTGACCCTGTAGGACAGAGTAGAACTCCTCCACAGTATTCCCAAGGCTGTAAAATCTTTCCGGAAGCAGACTGCCATATCTTTCTCCCATGGAACAACTGATGGGTTTGAACCGCTGAGCTTTCAGTTAGCAGCCAAGCACTTAGCCACTGTACCACCAGGGCTCCTTAGCTGGAGTACTGTATAGGGCATGTGAAGTCCTATGCTGAGTCCTTGTTGTGCTGTTGGGTTGATTCCAACCCATAGCGACCCCATTTGACAGGGTAGAATTGCCCCATAGAGTTTTCTAGGCTGTAATCGTTAAGGGAGCAGATTGGAGCTGCTTGGTGAATTTGAACTGCCAACCTTTCAGTTAGCCACCAAGCACTTAACTGTTGCACCACCAGGGTTCCTTAGGGGAGTCCCTGGGTGGTGCAAACAGTTAACATGCTTGGCTGTTAGCCAAAAGGTTGGTGGTTTGAGTCCACCCAGAGGTGCCTCAGAACAAAGACCAGCCTTTGAAACCCAACAAAGCAGAGTTCCACTCTGACACAATCGCAGTAGCCATGAGTTGCAACTGGTTTTACTAAAGAGGCAGAATATAAGACTTCAAAGATACATTGCACGGAGGATCTTGAACGTTAGTCTTAAGAATTAAGTCCAAATTAATATTTTTTAAGTGTATGCTAGGTGCAGTAATAGGTATTTTATGTGAATTGTTTCATTTTATCCTCACAGTGACCCTACAGTGCGACAACAGGCAGTCAGTAATAGGGGGTCATTTTCTCACCACGTTTATCAGCCCGCCTGCTTCGGTGCCTAGACAGTCTTCCTTGCCTCCTGTTACAAGGGAAGAACTGTCCCTTCTCCTAAGGCCAACCCTGTCCCTCGCACACTGGATCCCATCACCTCACACCTACTCAAGGACTTTGCTCTTGCGGTTGTTCCTTTCTCTCCTGAATCAATATTTACCTCCCGTTCTCTCTGCTCTTGTCAAGATCACCAGTTATCTTCATGTTGCTAAACTCAGTGGTCACTTTTGCACTGTCATCTTACTCAGACTCTCAACAACATACACAACAGTGATCTGTGCTCTCCTTCTTGATAAACTTTCACATCTTGACTATTGAGAAGTCATACTCTATATTTGTTCCCTGTTTGCTGACATAACAAATTACTACAAACTTAGAGGCTAAAAACAAGATCAATTTATTATCTTACAGTTCTGTAGGTCAGATGTCCAAAATAGATCTCACTGGCTAAAATCATGGTGTTGACAAGACAAGGCTGTTTTACCTTCTGGAAACTCTAGGGGAGAATTTGTTTCCTTGCATTTTCCAGCTTTCTTTCTTTTCCAAAGCCATTTCTTCATTGCCAAAGCCATCTCTGTGCCTTTTTCTCATAGTCACATCTCCGTCTGATGCTCCTCTTTGCCTGTCTTGTCCACTTTTTTATTTTCTCCCATACAAAAATTTAAACATACATTGTTATGTGACCCTAATTGCTCTCCCCATACTGTGACAGCACACTCCTCCTTTCCATCGCTGATTCCCCATGTCCATTCAACCAGCTCCTAACCCTCTCTGCCTTTCCATCTCACCTCCGGACAGAAGCTACCCTTTTAGTCTCTTGTATCTACCTGAGCTAAGAAGAACACTCCTCACGAGTATCACTTTATGTCCCACAGTCCAGTCCAATCCCTGTCTGAAGAGCTGGCCTCAGAAATTGTTTTAGTTCTGGGGTGATAGAGAATCCAGGGGCCATGCTTTCTGGGGTTCCTCCAGTCTCAGTCAGACCATTAAGTCTGATCTTCTTACTAGAGTTTGAGTTTTGCACCCCACTTTTCTCTTGCTCCATCTGAGACCCTCTGTTGTGTTCCCTGTCAGGGCCGTCATTGGTGGTAGCCGGACACCATCTAGTTCTTCTGGTCTCAGGCTGATGAAGTCTCTTGATTTATGTGGCCCTTTCTGTCTCTTGTGTCTTTGGTGTTCTTCATTCTCCTTAACTCCAGGTGTTTGGGACCAATTGATGCATCTTAGATGGCTGCTTGCTAGCTTTCAAGACCCCAGACGCCACTCACCAAAGTAGGATGCAGAACATTTTCTTAATAAGCTTTGTTATGCCAATTGACCTAGATGTCCCCTGAAAGCATGGTCCCCAGACCCCTTCCCCTGCTACATTGTCCCTTAAAGTGTTTGATTGTATTTAGGAAACTTCTTAGCTTTGGTTTAGTCCAGTTGTGCTGACTTTCCCTATAGTGTGTGCTGTCCTTCCTTTCACCTAAGATAATTCTTATCTACTATCTAGTTAGTAAATAGCCCTCACCCTCCCTCTGCATCCTAGTAACCATCAAAGAATGTTTTCTTCTGTGTTTAAACCTTTTCTTGAGTTCTTGTAACAGTGGTCTCATACAATATTTGTCGTTCTGTGTCTCGTCCACTTTTAAGGACCTTTATGATTTCACTGGGTCCACACAGATAATTCAGGATAATCTCCCTATTTTAAGGTCAGCTGATTAGCAATTTAATTTCATCTGCAGCTTTACTTCCCCTTTGCCACGTAACCAAATGTACTCATGTGTCCCAGGGATTAGGACATGGACATCTTGGAGGACCGTATCTTGTCTACCATACTTTCCTGATTTTTATTCCTATCACAATAATCACATCTTCCAAGTCTCCTCTGCTGACTCATCTCCTAACAGAATTCTGACTGTTGGAATGCCTTTGCACTCAATCCTAACTAAACTGTCTTTATCTATAATCTTTTCCTAAGTGATCACATCTAACCCTACGTCTTTAAACACCATCTTTACTTAAATGATTTAAAAACAAATTTACCTCCAGCTTTGACCACATTCCTGAGCTCCAGACTCTAATACCCAACTCCTACTCAAATTTTTGTTATGGATTTCTAATAGGCATTGCAAACATATGGACGAAATAGAACTCCTAGTGCTCACCTCCACCCTATCCTCAAACCTGTTCCCCCTCCAACCTTCCCCATCTCCATAAATGTTACTACATCCACTCAACTAAACAAACCCAAAACCTAGGAGTCATCCTTGAGTCTTCTTCCTTAAACCCTCACATCCAAACCTATAATAAATCTTGTTGCCTCTACACCAAAACACATTCTGAATCTGTCTATATCTTTCCATTTCTACCTCTTCCATCTAAGTTTAAGTCACCATCACCTTTTGCCTGGATAACTGGTCTCTCTGCTTCTATACTTGCCTTCCACAGCCCATTCTGCTTACAACACCCAATTTTATCTCAAAAAAAAAAAAAAAAAAAATCCAAACAGTGAAGGCACTGGGGCCTGAGAGCTGGAGTGGAGTTCGGATCCTCACTCAGAAACTTAAGTGAATTTGGGGAAGTTATTTGATATCTTTGTGCCTTGGTTTCCTGTAAGATAAAATAGAAATAATATTGATACCTACCTTATTGGGTTGTTATATGAATTTTAAAGTTAACAAATGTTAAATTCTCAGTACTTTGTACACAGAGCGTAATGACTAATTTGTATATGTATGTCTCCAGTAATCTGCCTACAACACCTGAGTGTGGGATGGCATAGGCAGGAAGAGAGATTGCCCTCCCACACAAGTCTGGGCTAGTTGGAATACAGAAGGTCACTGGAAATTGACACAAAGGGCTGCTGTTGTTGCCATCCCAGGTGAAGGACAAGCACGGGAGGTGGCAGCAGGGTCAGTGCGATGTCTGGAAATAACAAAGCCTGGTGAAATTCAGTCTTCACCCATGTGAGGAAACACTGCAAGGATGGAAAAACTTTATTAACAGAGTCTTCTTTTTAGT